TTGGTTAAATGTCCAAGTTCAGCTCAGGTCATGATCTCAGATCATGATCTCAAGTTTTGTTCATTTGAGCCCCACATCAGGCTCCGTGCTGACAGCTCAGAGCCTGGAGCCTGCTCAGATTCTGTGTCTCCCTCTCTCTCTGCCCCTCCCCAGCTCATGTTCTGTTTCTCAAAAATAAGTAAACATTAAAAAATTTTTCTTTTAAAACAGGAAACTGATGATTAGCTTAGAACTCAATGCTTTAAGCGCTGAAGCTCATGTCATTGAGGAGACAACAAGGATTAAAACTGAAGGGATTTTTTTTTTACTAGAAATTAGATGAATATAATTTTATATGATTTTAATGACTGATTTGTGTAAGCTAATGCATATACTATTTTCCATATTTTAAAAATTCACTGATGATCTGGGCATGGCTAATCTTGGGTAACAGTGTGAAATAAATTCTTTCTTTCTTTTTTTTTTTAGTTTTCTCATATTTCCCTTATGCAACTCCTCTTATGCTTCTAAGATGTCAGCATGCAGCTTTTTGGCTTCTCTGGCCCTCCATCCAGGGAGGATGCCCTTCTGGAAGTCTCCTTGGAGACAACATCATTCTTTTCTTCTACCCTTTCAACACTCCTTGCCCCTTCGGTGCTCAGATTTCATCTGGTTGTTGGGTAGAGTCATAGGATTAAACCAATTCCTACTCTGTATCACGATGCCTGACAGAGGCTTAAGGTGATTACTAGGGTCTAGGGTATTCGTGTAATAAGAGAAAAATGGTACTCTGAAAGAATGAATTTTTCATGATGCCATTTCAGCGGCTTTGAGTGAGGACCTTTCAAGACTCAAGTGACCCTGCTCCAGAGTCTGTCTCCTGCACATTCCCTTGAGTTGGGTGGGCAGAGGATCTTCTCCCTCAACAGTATGGCCCATGGTCTTAATCTCAATATTTGAGATGTCACTGGCATTATTAGGGTTTTACTATGGCCTTTGATGCTTAATATAACATCAGAATCAATATTATGGCCTAGGTGCTCGGCATTTAAATTCTAAGTCCTGTCCTGTCCAAGAGGGAAGGATACAAGGCTGACAAGATTGCCAGTATCACAGAGGTTGTTTGAATCTTTACTGTTGATTTTCCTTCTACCTCCCTTAGTTTGGGGATTTCTTGGGTGGTGGTGAGTACCAGACATTTTAGATACTGGAGGGACTACTTTTTCTTCCCTTGAGACTTGTTTTAAAGTTTATTTATTTATTTTGAGAGAGAGACAGCACAAACAGGGAAGGCGCAGTGAGAGAGGGAAAGAGAGAGAAGCCCAAGCAGACTCTGTGCTGCCAACACAGAGCCCGTCGTGGGGCTCAATCCCCTGAAACGGTGAGATCATGACCTGAATCAAAACCAAGAGTCAGATGCTCAACTGACTGAGCCACCCAGGCACCGCTTCCCTTGAGATTTTAAAGACATGGAAAAACCATGCCCTTGTTCTATGTTCAGTGTCTTTTGGTTGCAAGAATAGTTTAGGGTGCCAGTGGGATGTTCAAGAGCTCCCCCACAAAGATACTGTGACCTATTGGTACTTCAGATCCCATACTTCTCAAGTGTTTTCTAGAATTTCAAATATATGGCTGTGCTCTTCCTTCATGTTTCAGAAGCCATCTCTCTGTCTTCATTGTGTCCTTTCAAGAGGGACAGGAAACCAGATAGGAAGTAACTGACAGATTTGAACATAGTTCTATGGAAAAAACACACTTATTAGAATTAGTTCCAGACACGTTTCAGTTATCTGAGTTTATGGATTAAAAAAAAAATGTGTTCTGGGGCGGGACAGGAGCAGATGTGGTTGTAAGAAAGCAACGTGAGTGATCCTTGTGGTAATGGCATTGCTCTGTATCTTGGCTGTGGTGGTAGATACACAAAATACATACATGCAAATGAGTACATGTAAACCTGGGGAAATCTGATGAAGATCAATGTTGCTACCCTTATTGTGACAGTGTGCTATACAGTTTTGTGAAATGTGACCATTGAGGGGAACTGGGTAAAGGGTACCTGGGATCTCTCTGTATTGTTTCATACAACTGTAAGTGAATCTACAATTTTATATCAAAATAAAGTCTAAGTAAAATGTGTTTCATGTTCTAGACTCAGAGTATTTTGAAAGATAAAATCCATACATGCAACATAAAAGCACACACACATGTTCACAAAGAATATATTGTCAAGGTTCAGTCGCCCCCACGCCCCCACTCAGTGGATACAGACAGTTTTGCTATCAATTGGAGACAATTTTGTGTTTAGGCACAGGACTGAATCTAAATTTGATGTCATAAGGCATAGCCATTCTCTTTAGATCTCATATAAAGAGGACAAGTGTGACTATATTATGATTTTCCTATCCTGGTGAATGTAAATGTTTAATAAAGAAGGAAAATAATCTGAAGGTTCATAATTCTATATTTGCATTGATTTTTATATTGAAGTGTTGAAAAAAATCTTATAAGGAAAATGTTTAAAAAGGCAGTCCAGGGGCGCCTGGGTGGCGCAGTCTGTTAAGCGTCCGACTTCAGCCAGGTCACGATCTCGCGGTCCGTGAGTTCGAGCCCGGCGTCAGGCTCGCGTCAGGCTCTGGGCTGATGGCTCAGAGCCTGGAGCCTGTTTCCGATTCTGTGTCTCCCTCTCTCTCTGCCCCTCCCCCGTTCATGCTCTGTCTCTCTCTGTCCCAAAAATAAATAAACGTTGAAAAAAAAAAAAGGCAGTCCAAATCCATATGTAAGGACTTGGAAGAATCGAGTTGCATGTTTTAGGTATTCTTACATTGTTTTACACTATTCATCCTTTCCTGGTCCACTTGGGCTGCTGTGACAAAAATACCATAGACTGGGTGGCTTAAACAACAAAGATTTAGTTCTTTTTTTTTAATTTATTTTTTATTTTTTAAATTTCTATTGAGAACAGAGAGAGGCTGGAGGAGTAGAGTGAGGGAGACAGAGGATCTGAAGTAGGCTCTGCATTGACAGCAGAGACCCTGATGTGGGGCTTGAACTCACGAACCCTGAGATCATAACCTGAGCCACCCAGGCACCCCTAAAGATTTAGTTCTTAATGTTCTGGAGGCTGGAAGTCCAAGATTAAGGGAGGGGAAGATCAGTGTCTGGTGGGAGTCTGCATTCTGGTTCATAGACAGCTGTCCTCTTGCTGTGTCCTTCCATGGCAGAAGGGATGAGGGAGTTCTGTGGAGTTTTTTTTTTTTTTTTTTTTTTTTTTTTTGTGAGAGCACAAGTGGGGATGGAGCAGAGAGAGAGGGACAGATGATCTGAAATGGGCTCTGTGCTGACACCAGCAAGCCTGATGGTGGGGCTTGAACTCACAACCCGTGAGATCATGACCCGAGCCAAAGTCAGACGCTCAAATGACTAAGCCACCCAGGTGCTCCTATGGGGTCTTCTTTATAAGGGCACCAATGCCATTCATAAGAGTGTCATGCTTCATGACCTAATACCCTACCAAAGGCCCCACCTCCAAAAACCATCACATTGGGGATTAGGATTTCAACACAGGAATTTTGGATGGACACAAATATTCAGTCTGTTGGAAGCATAGCATATTAATGTTTTATTCTTGTGTTATAAACAGAATGTCTTCCATTTTTTTGCTTCAGATTAAGAAAAGCACTTATAGATCATCCAGCTTTCTGCTTTTTTAATCACACTGTAAATCTATCATTGACTCCAAATGATTGGGAGTAAACTGTCTGATTAATAAAGTAGTCTCATTATCCAGAGTTAGTGAGCTTGTATGAAACATAGCAATTTCCAATTTCAAAGGACTCACAGACAGTAAAGTGTATTTAACTCAGTCATCTACAACTCATTGTGGAATGAATAGTTAACATGATAAAAGAATAATACATATATATTTTTAATTTGGGGTTAAACTTTTTTTTTCAAGATCTGGCAGGGTTTCAGAAGTATCATCAATCACAGTAATTATTGTGATGACCAAAAAATTAGGAACATTATAATCAGCATATTAAAAAAATTAATGATCACAGATGCTCCACATCAGCTGTCATTTTTCGTATTTCCTACAAATAGAATGTATTTAAATCCTCTGCAATTTTTGAAGGTGTTAACACTTTCAAATCTCTTCTTCAGATGAAGACATTTCTACAAATACGATGCCAAGTCATAATTTGTGTAATGTTTCAGTTTTAAAATAATTTCAAACATAACCGGCATTGAAATTTACTTCTTTTATGTTAAACTGATAAGTGTCTACTTCATGGTAGATGCTTTTTTTCATGGACTCTATTTGTTCTGTAATACAGCATTTTACTTCAAGCATAGTAACTTCGTCCTCTGGCAGAACAGCTGAGGTAATGCCAACAGGGAGGAGCGTGGGAAACATCACCCAACAATAGGGACCCTCTGTAGAGCTAAGACAGAGAGTCCTACCTCTTTGTCCAGACACACTTGTCATTTTTGCCTTTGGTGTAAAAACCTTGATGGTTAGAATTAGGAATCTTCTTGGGGCACGTGGGTGGCTCAGTTGGTTAAGTGTTCAACTCTTGGTTTCGGCTCAGGTCATGATCTCCCAGTTTCATGGGTTTGAGACTGGCATCTGGCTCTGTGCTGTCAGCTTGGGATTCTGTGCTTGGGATTCTCTCTCTCTTTTCTCTCTCTCTGCCCCTCCCCCACTCTCGCGGTCTCTGTGTCTCTCAAATAAACTTAAAAATAAATAAATAAAATCCTAGTTAAAAAAAAAAAGGACTTTTCTTAAAGCTTTGGGGAACTTTGTTCACCTTGCCATATGCCTAAGTGGAAGAAGTGTGTGACATCAGTAGACATAATAATCAATCAGACCTAAAACCAGAGGTGCCAATTGCTTCAGGGGTCTCTATTAACACATCAGCTTCATAAGAATCATGGAGAACTTCAGGAAGTAGATGTTATAGAGCATCTGCATTGAACAAAAAGTCCTCTAATTTTGCTAGAGTGATTTTTTTTTTTTTTTTTGCATAATTTACTGGGACTCCTATTCCATAATGAATCTTAAAACATGAATAATTGTAAGAAAACCCACTCCACTGGTAGAGATTTGCTTTTTGAAAATAACGTATATATACACTTCTTTCAGTTGTTCTAATAGTCTTTCAAAAGTGTACTAATATAATGAGGCAATTCATCTGCTGGTTGATTTGCTTTTTTTCTCGCTGCTGAACCACCCTTTATTCAGTGAGCTGTAGCCTTAGGACATCTCAGGGGCTGGGAAGGCGAGCGCACCTGATTCACCTGAAATCTGCCTCTAACACCCCCCCACTGGCAGAAACCATTCACTCAAAAGGGTGTGTGCCACATGGCATGTTAATTAGCCATATCAGGAGCATCCTGCATTTTTGCAATCCTTTTAAATGAATACATTTACAATTTTAGTTTTGTGTTGACACTAAAAAGACAATTTTATTGTGGCAGGACTAACTCACACTTTTGGCTTCAGGGAGCTCAAGGACCAGTGTGGTAGCACTTTTAAAATTCTTGCCTCAGTGCTTAAGACCCAGCCACGATGGAATATGCTGCTACATAAGGAACGAGTTCCCTGTTTGTCAGAGATTTTCAAGCAGAGCTGAACTACTACATGTAGGCACATTGTAGAAGATATGTAAATTAGATTAACTTCACATTGATTTTCCAACTCTGTGACTGTAGGCTTCTTTGAAAATCATGCAGATTAATATTAATCCGTATACAGCTCTTTTGATTAAGGCCCGTGCAGAACATGGCATTCCAAAACCTGCAAAAAAAAATTTAGCAACTATTTGTTCTGGTTCTGAAAATAGGCGTCAGTCAAAATTACCTGGTTAGCATGAAACTTTCCTATTTTCTCTTTCATAATGATATGATTGTTAATTTTTCCATTAATGCCAGCATAATACTCAGTCTGGTTTTTTGTTTTTTGTTTTGCTTGGGAGAACCTGTGGTTACATGTATAATTACATGTATAATTTATTGGAAAACTCAGTTATTTTGTCTCTTTAGTCTGCAGTAAATTAGTTTCTGCCCTTTTTGTCTTGCTTTCCTATTTGGTAGTCCCATCTGGTTTTGCTTACGTGTCCCATATCTCATCTGAGAGGAATTCAGTTTTTGAAGCTGATTGTCAAAGGGACCTACTTAGCATTTTTTGAATTTGGCTTGGATTTGGTATTGTCTACGCAGATCTGTTACTTATACCTTCTGTGGAATGTTCTGGGTATGTGAGTTTCCTGGGTTTTTTGGATTTTCCAGAGTATGCTTTATATTACATGTTAAAAATCATTTCCTGAAACAGATAAAAATACATTGCTATGAAGTTTGTTAGGATGGAGTTAAGGTTTCTGAATTTGGATAAAGTTTGTAGTTAAAAAAAAAATTATTTGCGGGGCACCTGGGTGGCTCAGTCAGTTAAACGTCCGACTTCAACTCAGGTCACGATCTCGCGGTCCGTGAGTTCGAGCCCCGCGTCGGGCTCTGGGCTGATGGCTCAGAGCCTGGAGCCTGCTTCCGATTCTGTGTCTCCCTCTCTCTCTGCCCCTCCCCCGTTCATGCTCTGTCTCTCTCTGTCTCAAGAATGAATAGACGTTAAAAAAAAAATTATTTGATTTTTCCTTTTCTCCCAAGATACGTCATGGATGCAAAAGGTAGGGAAAAGAATTGGTTGGGAATGCAAGCTGGTGCAGCCACTCTGGAAAACAGTATGGAAGTTCCTCAAAAAACTAAAAATAGAACTACCCTGCAACCCAGCAATTGCACTACTAGGCATTTATCCAAGGGACACAGGTGTGCTGTTTCTTATGGACACATGCACCCCCCCATGTTTATAGCAGCACTATCAACAGTAGCCAAAGTATGGAAAGAGCCCAAATGTCCATCAATGGATGAATGTATATAGAAGATGTGGTGTATATATATAATAGAGTATTACTCAGCAATCAAAAAGAATGAAACCTTGCAATTTGCAACTACGTGGATGGAACTGGAGGGTATTATGCTAAGTGAAATTAGAGAAAGATAAAAATCATATGACTTCACTCATATGAGGACTTTAAGAGACAAAACAGATGAACCTAAGGGAAGGGAAACAAAAATAATATAAAAACAGAGAGGGGGACAAAAACAGAAGAGACTCATAAATATGGAGAACAAACTGAGGGTTACTAGAGGGGTTGTGGGAGGGGGGATGGGCTAAATGGGTAAGGGGCACTAAGGAATCTACTCCTGAAATCATTATTGCGCTATATGCTAACTAATTTGGATGTAAATTTAAAAAAATAAAACAAGTTAAAATAAAAACAAAGAAAAAAAAAAGAATGAGTAACGGATTTCCTATCATTGGAAAGAATAAATCACATGCCACAATCACATGCCCTTCAGGTGGGACATGACACAAAATCCACACTCCTGCGCAAATCCTTTATTAAAGCAATGATCAAAACACAGGATGGAGCACATGGTGTTTTGTTTTGCTACTATAACATCAACTTAAATGCCATTTGTTTATATCTTTAAATTATTTTTAAAAAGTGAACATTTATAGTTCACAAATCCACCAGTTTGACATTTCTGCCCAGATAAAGTTTTTCATCTTATTTTCCAATTTTAACAAAGGACATCCAGAACTAGAGATATAGCAAGCCAAACATAAGTGCAAGCAAACATCTTCTTTGACTCTAACTCACTGTAAGCAGCTCTATGGTGTCTGACAGATACATCTGAAGGCTTTTATTACTGGTTAAATAAAATCAATTTATGCCAGAATATTCTTAGAACTATTTGTTTTCTATTTTTACATTCTCTGAGAGCTTCAATTTTGATTGTGGTATTCTAAATATTAGCCCCCTTCAAAATGGTATCTCTAAACTATCTCAAAGATCATTACCACCCTCATATGATATTTTCTTGTATAACAGACATGCACTCAGTCCTTTGGAAAACGTATTAAACAATTGTTTTGATTTCCAATCCCCCACCATTGATTTGTTTAATCCAGACCTGATTAATCACTGTAGAAACCCTAAAAAAGTCATTAGGAAAATGAATTTTGTTATCTACTGAGGGATTTTTAAATGAATAGGTGAATGTAAAAATGGCTAGTGTCTTGAAGATGTCAGGTGCTCAAAAGATGTGTGTGAACATACAATGAGATTTGGTAGGTTTAAAGAGTACCAGTAAATTAGCTTAAAAAGCAAGAGTAGAAACAGGGATTATAATCTTAACGGAATGCCAAAAGGATCTGTGAAATAGGTACAGAACAGTAGCTGAACTGTGCCGAATATAAAATACAGTATCTGAAAGATAAGTTAAATGCTCATTTTCTTACCAAATGAAACACTGACAGGAAATCCCCTGTTAACAGAACCTCAGGGGCTGCCATTTAAGAGTTAGCACTGATAACAACACTGGATTTCAATCTACGAATAAAAGGTGGCTGATTTGCCTCTCCCAAACTGTTTCTCCAATGGCTGGGATGGGTGTTTTTGCAGGTAAGCAGATCTGTGTTGGCTGCACTACACTGAGAGAGTGCTTGTTCAAAACATGCAAATATTCTTGTGCCTTACATTTACTTCGTGTGCTAAAGAGCTGAGCAGACCCTAGATCACCAATAAATAACAATCTAAGCATTAGACTTAAAACATGTCAGCAGTCCACTAAATAATTTACATAGCCAGAGTTCAATTCAGTCTTCTCATCAAATTGCTTTCTTATCTCACATTTGCCCTTCAAAGGCAAGCTTGAACAACACAGACTTCTACAGTTAAAAATGAAACAAACAATAAAAAAGATAAAGATAGGAAGGAGATTCCAGAATCCATTGTGTGGGATGTCAAGACCTTTTAGCCTTAGTTTTGAAAAAAGGAATGCTCATAAACATCTGAGACAACTCATTCTGGATGTAATGGCACCATAATGCTTGGGATGGGTGGGAACATTCAGCTATTTTTAGAGCAATTTCTATACGTTATACATCACATTTGGTTCCTAGAGATTTTAGTCAAGTATTAGTATTTCTTTTTGCTGAGTATGATATACAAAAAGATGAGAACAGTAGATGTGCCCTAAAGATATGAAAATATAATATATAAAACAAAACCATTATAAATTACATAGATTTTCAGTATAAAATTGTGTTTTTTTCCATTTAGAATAAATACCATCCAAGTTTACAGATCATCTAAGTGAATTAAATATGCACACGTATCTGAATCATTTTCAGAATTTCAAGGAAAGAAGTTGCTAGAGATATGACTCAGAAACCAGAGACTGATGTTGAGAATGACTACATAAGACCCAAAGGACATAGCTTGGGATTTAGCGTTAAGCTTTTAAAACTGCCCCAAACAGCCTGACGCTCATGCGTGCACACAAGGACACACACATACAGCCATACGTCTATGAATTTCTATGAAGCTGAGCAGTTTATCTTTGAAAAATCAGCTGAAAGTCACAGGTCTTCTACATTTTATATTCTAGAAGGAGAGAGCCTTTCTCATTTCACGAAGAAGATGTAGGATGGATAGAAAGAGTGTAGAATTTCTGGAAGGAGAAATCTCCATTGTAAACCAACCTCCTTTTAGGTTGGCTATGATTCTATCAAGAGCTTTTTGATGCCCTAAGAGGGGAAAAGTTTGGAAAAATCTATATAATAATAATAATAATAATAATAATAATCTCCCCAGTCTTAAGAAGCTAAGACCAATCTGGAACATTCTTTGGTCATAAATTCCTGCTCCTGCTTCATTAAAAATCTGCTGATTTTAAAGTTTTTATTTCTTATCAATGTCTAGATAGAACTGATGCCTTTCCATGTGGAAATCTGCACATGGGTTTGGGTGGAATAACTGAACACAATGCAAAAAAGTTCACACAATATCACAAAATGAGCTTAAATTTGTTTGTTGTTGTTTTGGGCATATAGATCCGTAGTAAGAATTTGCTGGCCTCCATAGCAAGTGGAAAATGTTTATATTCTTAGAGTTGGAGATAAAGGTGTTCTGCAACCCAAATACATAAAATCCTAATCCAGAGAGCCCACATAGGAGTCATGCTTTCTCTTGACTGCTGTACTACTAGTTGCTTTATGTGACCCCGGGGGGCCCCCTCCCCGCCAAGACCCTTCTAACTAGATGCCAGCAGTTCATTCCTGGACAAGTTTGTCTAACCAAACTCCATGTCTTGTTAGATTGCCTTCCACACTGGTTGTCTACGAATAAAGAAGCCTGTCAGGCTACCCCTAAAGCCAAACCCACTGCCCTCAGCTGCATAGCCAAACACATTTGTTGTAAAATTTTGGACAGCAAAAAGCATCCAATCTCCTGTACCCATTTTGGCTCCCAATGTTGTTTGTCTCTTGCAGCAGGGACCTATCTTGGGAGATTACAAACTCTGTAAAACAATACATGTCTGAGCTAGAAGGGACCTTGTGACTCATCAAGCACAACCCCCATATTCTTCAGATGGAAAAGATTAAGCCCCAGAGAAGGGAAGGGAGTTGTTCGAGATCACTTACTAGATAGTGACAGAGTGAGGACTAAACATCTGGGTCTGCTCCCTCAGTACCAACGTGGCCCATGTAACCTTCAACATCACGACCCCATCACTTGATGTGGCCATGACCCCTACAACAACTTTAAGGTTACTCCCCCTGCTTCTAAGTGACAATGAAATACCACTCATTCTCACTATGGTTAAATTTAAACTATAGAAGTGGTCCTAATGATGTTTTGGGAGAGAAGATCCACAACTTGCTTAAAATGCTATGATTATTTAAAACTGATCCTCCTTGAGTAAGGCAGCATAAAAAATGTTAGCTGAACCCAGAGATGAAAGTGAAAATCTGTTCACTGGAAAGACAGCAAGCACGATGATATTGATGTGGTTCTGTGAGAGAGACCATTTAAATGGTGCTCAGAGCCTATCTAGTCTGCCCCCTCTGACAGATAAGGAAGCTGAGACCCATACCTGATCAAAGCCAGGCAGCTAGTTATTGGCACAGTCAGGTAAGGTGTTGACCTTTGCATAGACTGACTTTTTCTCCTTTCCATAACATCATTCAGCCTCACATATTACTGCTTTCTTGTGAGACTAAAAACCAATTCAATAATTTGGCGTGAAATTTGATGACACAGTTCCCTAGGTCATTACTCCAACCTTTCACTTTCCCTTTCAAGACCAACAAGTTAGCTACGTGGTTCACAAAGCGGACCTGGTTACACAACTTCACAGATCTTTATTTTGCTGCCCTGAATTAAGTGTTTGAGTCACTCGATGGCATATGGCCCTTCAAGCCCTTCTGGGAAGTCAATATTCTACAACCTACAGGGATTCATCATATGCTGCTGTCTTCAGAAGCAATACATTTTCCAGATAATCAGTTTTTGTTTGTAAGATGATGTTACTTATACGTAGAGAGCAGGTTTCATGGGTAATACAGGTATATTCGACCTTTTATAATTTCCTTCCACCAAAAGGCTCTCAGAATCAGACAGGTAAACACATTTGTTTTTGGCTAATAAAGTGCTATTCCTGGGCAAAATTTTTCTCAGTTTCACAATAGCAGCTTCGTTGGAAACAAAAAAAGTGATGTATGAAGATAGGCCTGGGTAGTGACAAAAATAATGAGCCTAGTAACTACTCGGGAACATTACAGGTGACTTGTAGGTATCAGCCCTGGCACCAGTGACTGATACCAAAGCCTCTGAGGTAAGTATTCTAGGGGGAAAATAAGGACAAAGTGGCAAAGAGGACCAAACTGGAAAGAGCAATTAGTATTAATGTAACAACAACTACTCCATTATAAAGGAACAGTGAAAGGAATAAAACTGAGAAGAAAGTGCAACAAACCCATGTACGTGCATTTGCTATTGTAGCAGACCTATAATTTTTTTTAAAGGAAAAGCAATGCGGTGTGCATTGGACAGGGCTCTTGAACTCAGAATATCTTATAGTAATATTCTCTTTGACAAAAGGGCATCACCCATTAAGGTTATTTGGCAGAGAAGAGCCTCTAAAATTCGTATCGCATGGACAGACACCTTCCGTCCAGTATGACCAATTCTGCACCCTGATGTTTCTCACATCCTTTACTGTGGGGGAAATTCCAGTCATGTCATAAACTGCACTCAGGTGTTTCCCCTTTTAAAATGGCGTCACTCCTACCTAAGGGATGAGAGTCTCCTGGTAAGGCTTAGCGGCGAGTGCGTACTACATCTGCACTACAAGGAGCAGCCCCTGATTTTCTTGATATGCATAGCTTTTCATGGTTGATATTAGACATGGCTTTCATAAATAATGCAGGTGTTTCTGTCCTGTGCCACTGCTGGCTCTGAAGTTTCCAGGTGAGCTGGTGGCAGGACTCTATCTAATACCTCGATAGGCGTTGACTCTTCAGACGTTAGCTCTGTGGATGTTACATCTGTGGAAGGCTCTGCAGTTTCCGGGGAATGGTCGGCTGACGGTTCTGTCTCCTCTTCATCTTTGACCTCAAATTGCACACCGTCTTGGTCATCCACGTGATCTTTTTTGGACTGTGGGTGCACAGACACCTTGATGGCAATTTGCTGAGGCTGCTCGTGCAGCGATGAGGCATCCGAGTCAGCAGTGGGGGAGTCACTTCTCTTCAGGGAGTTTGGGATTGTGTAAACCTCATCCCTGTCTGAGGCCTCCTGGCCTTCTGGAGTGTGCCGCACAAAATTCTGCCCCTGCTCCTCAAGCCCGACCACCTCCATGATTTCCTCCATGATGGTCCTACAGTTCATAATGAGGGGAGGCAGAGGCACACTCCTGGCAAGCTCTTCGATATAGCGTGCAAACTCCATGGTTTTGAACTGGGTGACTTTGGCAAGCTCTAGAGTTTTGGCTGAGGTGATGATGGGGATCCGCTTGGCAATCTCAAATGCCTTTTGCAGCTTCTCTGCGCCTTCTGTCCTAAAGAACTCATTGATGGCTTTCTCGGTCTTCTTCAGGTGACTGCTCATCATGCACAGGCGGGTGATATTGAGGACCATGACAATGGTGAAGGCCACAAGGCAGACGACCATGTAGTAGACGCCCATGTCTCCAGAGGTAAAGATGACTCTCAGGGTCACCGTGTTGTTCACAGTGCCATGGATGTTAGAAGCAACACATGTGTATTTACCTCGGTCTGAAAAAGACACCTTGGTGATGTTCAGGAGGCCGCTGTCATGCATCTGCCATTTTCCTGTGGGAAGGAAGGGGGGAAAATTCAACCAAGGACACACAGGTCATATTAAAGTGTCTACAAACTCTCACATTACTAAAAACATCTACTGCCGCCACTGCTACTACTACTACTGATACCGACAGTGAACAATTACTACGTGCCAGCCAGTGACACAGTGACGTGTGTTAATGCTTTTCATCTCCACAACGACTCTGTGAGGTTGGTACTCATACTGGCTCCATTTCACAGGATGAAGAAACTAAGGCACGGTTAGATAAGCCCACCTTCCCAAGGTCACCAGTTTGGAAGAAGTGGGAGAGCAGATGAACTCAGGGTCGAAAGGCTATACTCTGAACCCCCAAGCCATGCTATGTAATTCTACAGCCTCGTGAAAAGTAGGAAAAATAAACAATCTGGAAAATACCGTGCTCTTATTAAAGAATTCCTTAAACATAGCATCTGGTTTTCTAACCTGCCCACGAGCATGACGCTATTGAATATATATGTTCATTGAGGGAGTTTAATGCTTCTAAGAATATAAAGTATTTTAGGATCAACATAAAGTCTGGAGTAAGCCAATTAAATTATAATTGTTTACCTGGGTTTCTCATATTTGAGGTTGAAGTTATCCTTGTATGACCTCAGTTAATTCAAGCATAACATGTCATTAATTTTGAGAATTTATGATGAATTGTTTATAGTACTTAAAAGTTACAAGCTAACAATGTGAACATTCAGAGGCTGGGTATGAATTAATACCAATTTAATGTTTTAGCCTTGCAAATAAATTATAGACCCATCAAGTCGAAAATAAGCCTCACATAATGGAGAATGCATGTTGATAAGTGCAGTTCTATTTCCTTCTCTGGCCTGGAAAGGAGCTAGTGTTGCCCCAGGGATGAAGTTCTGAATCAGGGGAAACTCTTTCATTGGGATTCATTCTTTGTCTGCCTCTGTACCCACAGATCATTAGAGGTTTGGCTTCTAGGTCCTGGGTCTGAGGCTTTCTGAAAGCCTACCTATACTGTCCTATAGAGATGGAAGGGTCCAGGACAGTTCTCTTGGGAGCTCTGAGGAGCAGACAGGGAGATATTTCTCCATAAAAGCACTCCGGCTCCACAAGCCAACTAGAGGAGCCTCTCCTGAGAGATGGAGCAGTTCAACATGTAGTTTTCCTTTTAAGTACCTATTATCGAATTGTATTTTCACTTGTTTCTTCTCCTTCTGGCAGTGACTTCTAATTCTATTTAAAAATCTGATATTTCCCAAAAGCAACAAGCAACTTGTTCCCCTCCTCCCCCCCTTTTAAACTTGTGAACATGTAAGTGACTACAGTCTCAGGGCACTATGGACTGAAGCAAGAGAGGGCCTTCTTCATTCCAGCATCTTCTACTCCTAGGAACATCCTTAAGGAAGCTAGGGTGGAGCCGTGAGGTGCCTTCTGGGGACCTGCGGCCCCTTCTACCTGCTAGGCACGCTGGATCTGGCAGGATGCCTCTTGTAGGTGCTGTCCTATTACTCTTTCTGAAAGAACATCTGTGAAGAGTGGCTCCTAGTGTCCCTGAGTAACCCTTTTCTAACAATTCGGCCAGTATCTTTTCCCCAAGAGTAGAAAACACTGGTTTGGAAAATCTAGTGAATTTTTGGTTTCTTGTGAATGTGTGTCAACCGACAAACCTAAGCACCCAGTCTGTGAAATCTTCTCTCGTTTAGATTGGGCAGGCCTTCCACTCCCTTCATTCCCCGAACGTGGATTTTGATACTTCGGCTGCAGGTTTGTCCAAATGTAGAAATAATCTGGGGCAAGGGAATCAATGTATTATCAATTTATATTTTTAACATGTGCATGTTTCATAAAGGTGGACTACAGCGGGCATAGGCAAACTCGAGTTGACTGGAAACTTATTACGGATATGGAAGGTATTTGGTTCCAGAAAATTACAGACTATACTTGTAGGAGTTTCTCAAATTTACCTTCTTTCTTTTGTTGGAAAATATAACAGGAACTAGGATGGAAGAAGGTGAGGTGAGGTTATTTATATGGGGAGTGGTAAGGGTCAAATTGTTCAACTCCTAACCTCCCATGGCCATTCCTTTTATGGAGGAATTACCTCCAAAGTAGTCTGAACCTGGGAGTAGCAGGAGAGCAGAAAAGACCACTAAACTAAGAAGGCAGGTATCTGATGGTATTATGAACAGCTTCTCTTCACACCTAAATAATAATTTTAGTGATCACTGTATTCTGTTATGGGTCACAAAGCAAGTCTTTGGTAGCCAACAGACACACACGTATGTGCGCGCACACACACACACACACACACACACCCCTTCCAAAGACTATAATGTCACAGGAGCTAAGGTTATCACCTCAAAGGTGATGTAAGTCTATATCACTTCTTTTTTAAAGGCTGATACTAAGACTCTACATATTTCCTCTCAGTCTCAGCTTGACCGCTGGTTAGTGAAAAATAAAGATTTCTGTGTGTTCTACCACCAGATGCAGCCCTGAAAACAATGAAGATGGCATAGATTGCACTTTGTGGTCCTCCCACATCAGCTCTGCACCCAGGCTCACGAAGAATTTCCATATAAAACCCATCCAGCTGGGATCATCTTGAGAACGTTTTCTGTCTTGCACGTTACCATTCGCCTCAGTCTACAAATATCTTGCCCTGAGACTCATTCTGGAAGGGTCCTGGCTTTAGCTTTAACTTTACTTAAGAAAACAAGAACACCCACAATGACTGTCATAGGAAACCATCAGTGCTCTTCATGAAGTGCGTATACAGTGCTGCTCTCGTGTATTTTAGATGGTAACTGGGCATGTCAAAGTTGTGCTGAATTTTCACTAAGCCGCATCACTTTAGCACAGATAAAAACCTAAAATGTCGGCAGCTGATGCCGAGTCAGATCTACATGCAACGATTCTGGAGGAAATAAAGAGGCGGATGTTAAACCGTGACTTTCTGAATATATTACCAAAGATTACGTGTAAAACATTTCCCTAATGCCCTTGACAGTTATTCACTAATACATGCCCTGTGCCTTGCTCAGATTGTAACCCTTTGAAAGCCCTTCCTCCACCTCCCGTCATCCACTCTGGTCCTGTAAGGTGACCCTCACCTGAAGGCTTCACCCTAAAATACTGACACATGCAGTAGGAGAAGGGCTGCTAGAGTTTGCCCAGGAATCTGTCACAGTCTCCCCGAGAAACTCCAGGCACAAGAATCGCACATGAAAACCTCCCACGTGGGAGCAGAAGTAGTGTGGTGACAGTCTCTCCTTTGCAAAGAGAAAAGCTAACAGATGTTATTTCTTAGCTGTACTGCAGTGTGTATTTTATGCTGCGCACACACACACACACACACACACACACACACAAAAGCTGACATTTTTAGAAGGGCAGTGATCTTTTTTTAATCTTGTTCAAGCGTTTAGTCAACAAACATTATTGAGTAAATTGCGTTTGCAGCAGGTTCCACGCTCGACTGTACGAATACAAAGATGAGTTAGACAGGATCCCCGACTGAGAAAACCATCCGGCCCAAGGAGGGACGCAGACGGCAACAAAGGACCGTGGCTCACTTGGCAAAGTGCCGGCCCAGGGCAGTGGGGTGGGAGCACCAGCTTCTTGGAGAGGCTTGGGGAACCGGGCCAGGATGAGGGCGGGCTGGGTGGTGCAGGTGGCATAGGAGCAATAGTGGGAACCCAGGCTGTGCTGCTGCAGCTGACAAACTACGTCCAAAACCAAGAAGGGCTAGGGTGGCGACAGGGCCGGAGAGGAATGCAGGGCCAGAATGTTCAAGAGCTTTGTATTTATCCTGTGGGGGAACAGGAACCCCTCACCCTACAGGACTTCCCCCTGACAAACAGGCCTTATTTCATTTCTTACAGCTGCCATAGGACCTTCCCACAGGTTTCCTTTCTGCCTGGAAAGCTCTCCTCCCTCCCGCCTCCAAGCCTTGCCTCACCCCTTCTCAGCCCAGTTCAGACACCACCTTGCTGTCACCTCGCTACCTGAGAAACCTTCTCTGACCCCTGACTAAACCAGTGAAGAAAATCAGAAAGTCCAGAAGCAGATGCCGGTAAGCATGGGGATTTTAAAAATAAGGAAGATATTTTAAATCAGCAGGGAAAGAATACTGAGATAACTGACCATTCATTTAAAAGAAAAATGAAAATGAAGTTATGTTCCTATTTGATGTGATACATAAAAATAAATTCCAAGTATTCTGAAGATCTAAATGTAAATTAAAAGTATAAAATTAGGGTGCTTGGATGGCTCACTTGGTGAAGTGTCAGACTCTTGATATTGGCTCAGGTCATGATCTCACAGTTCCTGTTTGGGATTCTCTCTCTCTGCCCCTCCCCTGCTTACATGCTCTCTCTCTCAAGATAAATAAACATTAAAAAATATTTTTAAAAAGTATAAAGTTAATAGAGGATATAAAAACATTTTTACAAACTAGGGATACGAAGTCTTTTTAGGCATTTCAAGAATCCCAGAAACTATAAAGGAAAACAATAATAGATTAGATTTCTCCACAATTAAAATTTTTACACTATAAAATATGTCATACTAAGTAAAAGTAAAAGCAAATGACAGAGTGGGATAAAATTATGAATATTTGACAGACAAATGCTTACTAGGTATAAAATAAAAAAAAAACTCCTATAAATCAAGACAAATAAAAGAAAAAATGGGGAAAGGATATGAATGGATAAATCACAGAGAAAAAGAAATATGAATAGTGTCTAACTATAAAAAACATAACTTTTTTAAGAGTTTATTTTTGAGAGAGAGAGAGACAGTGTGAGCAGGGGAGGAGTAGAGGGAGGGAGACAGAGAATCCCAAGCAGGCTCTGTGTTGTCAGCATAGAGCCTGACTCAGGGCTTGAACTCACGAACCATGAGATCATGACCTGAGCCAAAGTCAGATGCTTATCTGACTGAGCTGCTCAGGCGCCCCCCAAAACATAACTTGCAACCTTTCAGAGTGCCAGAAAAAGAGGGAAGACACTGATTATATATTATGTTGCTGAGAGAACAGGGTAAGGGATGCTTACACACGTGGCAGTGGGGAGTCAGGTTGGTAAAACCTTTGGAAGGTTGATATGGAGGCATCTGTCAAAATTCAAAATGAATGTAGTCTATGACCTACTTGTAGACTTCTTGAAATTTCTCAAATCAGACAAGCCTAAATTGACTGAAAAAATATTAACGAATATAAGAAAATCAAGGTAATGAGAAAAATCTCCTTTTCAGGATAGTTTTTCTACAGGGACACGGTTCCAGAACTTTCCCCTCCTGCCAACATTCTCTGGGAGAAGCCATAACCTTGGTCCCAAGCCAGGAAGGTGGCTGACCTGGTACCACCATGCTCACTGTGGGGCACACACACATGGAAGAGGAAGTTGCTCCAGACACTACGATGTCATGTCAATAGGACAGTGTCAGGGTCAGGTAGACCCTGTCCAGTAATGAGAGAAGCAGATCAGCAGCCTCATATGTCTACAGTCATATGATGGGAGTCACTGTGGCTCAGTGTGTAGCCAGTGTATGGCACTAGATCAGAACTCTGGCTCATGCAAACGACTTCTGACCACATTACTGCTGTATAGAAATGAACAGCACTGATACATTCTGGAACTAAAGAATCATAAGGAAAGTGAGAACACAACCTACAAAGATACTATAATTACAGCTTCCTTCAAACACCATGTCTACTATAATCCTAAATTTCTCCAGCTTTTCCTGAGGATCATGGAGCATTAGAAATTAAAATTATGCCCAAATACGAAGCTCTTAGAATTTCCCCCAAATTACTTATTCGAAGATAAGGATTTCTTTTTTCTTTGGAGATACCTTTCTGTGAATGTGTAAATAAGCTGATGTATGGTTTGTCTATGTCCCCAGTGAGTGGCATGAAAGATTAAAACTCTGTTCAAAATCCCAGTGAGGTACTTAGGCTCTTGAGCTTTACATACCTATAGTTTTTAAGGAGGAGATTTCAAATGGCCAAAACAAGTAGGTTCTTTTTGTTTTTTTTTTTAAGTGTATTTATTTCTTTTGAGAGAGAGAGTAAGTGAGGGAGGGGCAGAGAGAGAATCCCAAGCAGGCTCAGTGCAGGGTCCAATATGGGACTTGAACCCACGAACCGCGAGATCATGACCTGAGCTGAAATCAAGAGTCAACACTTAACAGACTGAGCCACCCAGGTGCCCCAATACATTATTTTCTTGAAGCCAACTTTAAAAATTTTCATGTCGGTTAAGCGTTCGACTTCTGTGCTGACAGCTCAGAGCCTGGAGCCTGGAGGCTTCAGATTCTGTGTCTCCCTCTCTTTCTGCCCCTACCCTGCTCTCTCTCTCAAAAATAAACAAACATTTTAAAAAATTAAAATAAATTAAAAAATTCATGTGGTAAGAGTTCCAATAAATGTTTAGGTAAACATAAATGAAGTACAAGATTTACCTGAATATCGCATCAATCGAGTCTTCAAATAAGAACTAGATGCACGTGTGTGTAGGTGTCTATAAATGTGGTACTTATCCTCCAATATGTGAAAAACAGACCACTGAAGAGAAAGGATCCATGCCTTTTTACAAAACATAATTGAAAACAAATTTAGCACTGCATGGCTGCACCTGTTACAGGCTTCTGCAGTAGATGATGGCTCCGTGAAGCCACTGCAGACTCTGGTTATAAACACTGCAAGCCGTAAGGGCTCTTATGCACCACTCCCCCAATCCTCCCAAGAGACCTCTTCAGAGGCTACCAGGCCAGCTCTAACAAGCTAGTTCCTACATCATGTGGAGTAAAGGTGGCCTGGGATAATACAGGCTTAGTTCAGCTTTCAGCTCAGGAAGGTGGGGGTGGAAGGCTATGCTGTTCACAGCCTGGAGTTATGCTATGCTTAAAAGTATAAATAATATCTGAAAAGATTACCTACTGTCTTTTCACTTCCTGGCAAAGGAAACATATGACCCTCTAGCTAACTGGATCTGGTGATCTTAATTTTTAGTGCCAAGTAATTCCACGCAGGCTAGCAAGTCTTTTCTGAGAACAGCTACAGGTGGTTTTCCAAGACAAGGGCACCCTACGCTGGGTTCATATAAATGACTTCCATTTTGGGAATTTCAGCTGTCATCCTTATCTGAGGTGGATCCAGAAGGGTCTTTTCACAGCTAAGACTATAGCACTCTGAGTTCATATCCCAAATGGAGCATAACTCATCCAAGAAAAACTATAAATGGTGGTTAGTTATCAGGTTGGCCCTTGACATGGATCAATTTGGAAAATGAGCCATAATAACTTAAACTACTTTTATGAAAGAATACATAATGGGTTCAAACAACTGACCTCAAGATCTACTTTGGAATGATTCTTTAGTTAGCAGAGGAGTGCTTCTTTGGGTTAGATCAGGGTCCCTGAGCTTTGACACCATTGACATTTTGTGCCGAGTAATTCTTTGTAGGGGTTTATCTTGTGCATTGAAAGATGTGTCGCAGCATTCCTTCCTTCTACCTACTAGATACCAGTAGCATAATTTCCCCCACTTCCTTTCCCTCCTCCGCCAGGTTATGACAACCAAAAATTTATCTCCAGACTTTGCCAAATGTCCTCTGGGTGGAACACAGGCTCCCACCAAGAACCACTGAGTTAGGCAGATGTAAAGTTCATCTTGTGTATAACACATTTAGTAATGTCCACATATGCTCACTGCTTATTCAGAGATAGAAGCATGTTGGATATCAACAGGTCCTGTGTACTCAAGAGTGATGGTGGGGCAAGGGGAAGCCTCTGATGAAGGAAAGGATTCCAAACTTGCTACCACGGCAGTCTCAACATTGTTTTGAAATTTCAAATAACTTTTTTTTTTAAGTTTATTTATTTATTTTGAGAGCGAGTGAATGAGCACAAGCAGGGGAAGGGCACACAGAGAGGGAGAGAAAAAAATCCCAAGCAGGCTCTGTGCTGACACGGGGCTCAAACCTGAAAACCGTGAGATCATGACCTGACCGAAATCAAGAGTCAGATGCTTAACTGACTGAGCTGCCCAGGCAGCCTGCAATTTCAAATAACTTTGAAGGGCTATAAATTTTTTTATATTAATTCAGTGTTTTTAAGGTTGAGAGATTGAGATAGAGAATAAGAAATTACCCAGGAAATTATTTCCTGTCTTTTCAAAACACACTAGATTATGAAATAGAGATTTAGGCACTTGGAATCTATGGCTGCCAAAATATAGGGCGATATTACCAATAACAATAGCAGCAGTTGCCATTTACTGACAGCTGGACATGTTCCAGGTCACTGTGCAAAATGTTTAATACACAATAGTTTATTCAAGACACTCAGCCCCACCTGCTAGTAAAAAAGGATTTTCTCTATCTCACAAAAACTGTGGCTCAGAGGAGTTAAGGCACTTACTCAAGGAAAGGCTATTGTGGGATTTCCAGTAATGTATTCCTAATTACACTAATTTTATTTCATGCCTTTGGTAAGTTATTTTTCATCTCAGATATTTAATCTACTAAAAGAAGAATTCAGCATATTTTCGGTAGTTAATGCACTACTTCACGCCGATCTCAGAGGTAAAGGACGATTTATATTTACTGTGGGAACTGACCCTTCTTAGACGTGCATTAAGTAAGGAGGTCATATACTAACTAGTCTGAAAACAGGGCTGGCACAGGCTGTTGTCCCTTGCAGAAGTAGTGAACAGGCATTTTATGGTCTATTCCAAAAATGTGAAAAGTGGAGATGAATGCAAATAAATAAATAAATGCAAAACTTATGGTGCTCCTGGGTGGCTCAGGGGGATGAGTGACCAACTCTTGATTTCAGCCCAGTTCATGATCTCACTGTCATGAGATCGTGCCTCCCCTCCCCCCGCCCCACCAACCATGGAGCTTCGAGCTGAGTGTGGAGCCTGCTTGAGATTCTCTCTCCCTCTCTCTCTGCCCCTCCACTACTGGTTTGCACATGTGAGTGCTCTTTCTCTTAAAAACAAAAACAAACAAACCAACCAAAACCTGTAATAATGAATTCCACAATGCTAAAGTAGCAGAGGTGACAATTGGGAACTTTGTGCACTTTGGCTCCATTTACTCTGTGCATGTTTTACTTTAAAAGACAGTCTTTAGTTATTTTTGGTGGAAGAACGCTGTAAGGGTGTGGAGAACCAATCCACAGAAGTCTCAAACCTAAGTTGGAAGAAGAATTTCCAACTTAATCGCTAACAAGGCAGAGGTGTTTGGCAAGGCCTCTGCTGGCTGACTTTCCTGAAATGCTCGTTATTTATCATCAAAGGTGCTAATGTGCATTTAAATGGCTTAAAGTCAGAGTAGGAAGCCATGGCAAAAATACGCTGGATAATTAGTACCTGAAATAACTGGCACTTTTTTCATAATACTTTCTGACAACTGTTTATTTCTACTCACCTCAAGCAAAAGGACTTTGTGGTCATTTGTGGTTATGCATGTTATTGGAATTCTGAGCTATTTCTGTAATATGGGTGGTGGACTACCCCCAAAACATGTCCTTTGGTGAACAGCCAGAAAAAGAAAAGTCCTCCTCCAGAGACAGATTACACATTAGCCTGTCTCGATCCTCTGGACTTGAAGGAATGAACAGCAGGGAAGGGCAGTGAAGCAGTTGACGCTCTCACCAGTGACAGGCAGTAGCCCCACTTTTTCCAGGACCGGCAGGGCTGGCATGAATAGCTCGCTCACTTTGTCAGCATAAACGAGAAATGAAGTTGGTCCTTCCTAATCACACAATGAATGGTGATGTGCTCCTAGATCGAGTCACCAGGTGATTTTGATGCTGTGTGTGTGTGTGTGTCACATATACACGTGACAGCACATATCCTGACACTGAAACTGATGTGGGTGATTACCATGCATTTTCCATCCAGGAAGGCTTCTCTCATTCGCTCAGTCTGGGTTGGATGTTCTTCAACATTTTTCACCTAGCAAGACCCAAAGAGTGAGCAGATGCTGGTTGGACACAGAGGGAGAATAAATACTAGCTTGTCCACACTCTGGCCGTGTAATATCCTCTCTGTTCACTTGGTCCCTCATCCGTATACATGAGGATTAATAATATCTACCCGTCATGCTTACTGTAAGGATCAGAAATGGTATCTGTAACTTGGTATACGAGGGCTTAATCAATGGTTGGGATCGTTAATGAAAATTACATTAGTTTTTTTAGTTTGGTTTTAACAGTAGTCTATTGTATCTAGGTAATGTTCTGGGATATTAGCATCATTTTTCATACTATATTCATTCAATCACCTCTTTGTTGAGTTATAATGAAACACTGCTCCATTTACACTTCTAGACGATTAGCCTGACAACTGAAAATTTTGCCCACGGTTATAATATGGGCATCTTCCCCATCAGAAAGAAAGAGTTAAAGAATTATGCATCCTCTGATAGGCCATTTGAACACTGAAGTTCTAATAATTCATGACGAGGAGTGTCATTTCTGCTATGTCTTATGTCTTGCTTGGTTGTGAGGTACAGTGTTTTGTGTATTGCCCTGTGTTCCTGACATTCTGGAATCACTATTATTATGCACTGCAGTACAAAGGCTGAGCTGGAACATCAAGTACTAGTATCATATGAGTTCTTTTTAAAAATCTGCAGTGCATCTTCCTTATGAGATTTGAAAACGGCTAACTGATTTATCAGCAAGACTGCTGGCTGCAAACACAATACAAATGCTGGGTTCTGATGGAGCAGTTCTCTGTGCCACAAAGGCTTTTGCTGGCTTCCCCTGGTTCTAGGGTTCTGGGCTTCTGCAGTCTGCTACTATGGACCACCTGAGTGCCACAGAACAAAAGGAAATCGAGCCATGTGTCTTCCCTCTAGTCCAGCCTCCTAAGACACAGATCGAGAAGGCAGGTACAGAGTGTGCTTGCCAAGCCCGCGTTAATAGTTAGAACGACCTTTTCAACTGAGGCAACATGTGATCTCTCTGAAGCAGAAAGGCCCTACTTTAGGACTGCAATCAAAATGTGGTAACTGAAATTCAGGCCCCAGCACTGTGGTTCCCACAGTGTCTCCCTCTCTAGGACTCAGGGGTTTAGTGCCCCAGCTCCTTGGTACCAGTGATGACCCATGCTTCAGTGTCCATGTGAAAGGTAGATTCAGGTCTGGAGTCCTTGTTCCCCTCAATTCAGTTCCCTTGTTATTTCCCGCGGCGGCCCAGCTCGCAGAAGGATCTGATGGAGTATGGGGACTTGAGTGTGTATATGTTACCATGGTTACTGCCCCCTTCACAAGTGTGGGATCACTTGCTTTTGACTTGGAGTCTGTGAGGAAGGAATGGTAGGGATGGAAACCAACTGTGGGCTGGGGGGGGTGGTGTCTCTTCTTCTCACTGTCACTAGTGAAGGTTCTAGTCACAGCCATTAACTAACAGTGGGACTTCGGGAAAACGTGGGTGGAAGAAGAGATTTGGATTACACTGTCTCTAGGTCCCTTCCAATTTAAAAATTCTATGGCCTCAAAATTTTACTCGGTGGGGATACAGGTCCACTCTACCAAATTAAACAGACAGACATACATGTAACATGTATTTTCACTGGAGGGAGGAAGCTTTGTCATGTTGTACATCCCTGAATGGTTAATTCAAAGCAATGTGAGAGTGCTACAATGAAACCCCAGATCCCAGGTAGTTGGACTGCTAGTGGCCTTAACCATGAGGGACACAGCGGTGAGCCACAAGTATGTAATGGCAAGAAAACTCCATTTGCTCAGCTCCTAAGGAGACATAAGGTATTAGCTTCCATTCTTTTCCAGAGTGAGATAAAATGAAGGAAAGAGATTAAAAACGTAGGTTTTCTTGGAGCAGAAACTCTCTGGGGATTATTCATTGCTTAAAGGGCTGTGGATGGGAAGTACAACATGAATGAAAGGTGACAGAAACTAGGAAGCTGCTACTTCAGAACAATGATCTTTTTACTCCCCCACCCTTACTTCACACAGTAAATGCTTTAGAAAGTACATTAACTCCTTCAGGTCAATTAGCTCAGGCTTGGGTTTTCAGACAAGTACTTCTCACACCTAAAACAAGAAGTGTAGTTATTCACAATGACCCAGTCAATCCTCTCTCTGGCCGAAGTCTTTCCTGAAGCAGGCTCAGTGCTTATGTAGGTGATTCACATTTTTTGGCCAGAAATGCACTCATTAAAAACTAAGCATTCTCCTATTGCCACATGTTATTTCTTGCTACTGAATCTTCTGTCTTGGCCTCAGCAGCAACAATCTAGAAACTTCAGCCAGGTCTTCAGAAGCACAGAATGATCTCAAGTCGTGGCTGAGAACCTTGCACAGAGACTTGTTTTAAGAAGTGTGGTCTTTAAATCCACAGTCAATGAATTAAACTGACATTTAACCATAAACACCTGCTATATTGTTTACTGGACCCAGCTCCATGACACAAAATAAAACTCCCTTATAAATGGAACTTATACTTATGGAAAATCCATTTTACATTCGTCCCTATAACATTTTGTATGCACTATGTTACAAAATTCCAAGAGGCGTTTTAAGACTTCTGTTTGCCCTGTCTTCCAAGTCAAAAAGTGCAAACTATGAAGTAATTAGCGATTCGAATCCTTAAGAATATATATTTCTCCCTCTTGCCTTAGAGAAAGAAGACAAAATGAGATCCTTAAATCACTTGAATAGGAACAACTAACATTCAGAGTGCGGGTTCCAAAGTCCATGTTTATATCTTATGATATTTGATACAACTTGAAAGCCTACCTCCTCCTTTCTCCTCGTCTTCTGTCAGCAGCTTGCCAATGGAATTATACCACTTGAATTGTGGCTCAGGGATACCATAAACACTACAATTAATCAAGGCACTGTTCCCTTCCTTGACTATGATATGGTCAGTTCTGGCAATGATTACAGGCACAGAGCCCAAGACAATGTCAGTGCCATTTAAAGTGCTATTAGTCACACTCTTAGCAGCCGCTAGAGTGGATACTAGGATTAAAAAGGGCACAGTAGGTAGAAAGCACACAGGCAGATGGTTCTTCAGTCGATCCATCTTCTTTGCTTGCTCTATAAGGCAACAGAGACGGTTTGCCAATGGAATCTTCTATTGGACAACACGCTGTTCAGAGCAGGCCATGGGATAAACCTGTCCTGGATCCATAGAGTTGGTTCTTGATTAAGAACCTGTTTAAAAAAGAAAACAAACCCACACACATAAATATTAGCATTCATACTTTAAAAATATTATTTATAAAATGCTAGAAACCCAACTAAAATACAAACCTACATAATTTTTAAACACAGATTCAGAAGCTGTTCCAAATATTAAATTACATTTTTCACAGAAATCATAACAATATAATTTTGTTATTTTTGCTACTGAAATATATAGCTCTTAGTGGGAACAAATATACACTTTGTATGTTAAATTTATATTGCATTACTTCCGAGAGTTCCAAAACCAATTCAGGCTTCTTTCATTAGGCATTATGAGGTCTCTTTCCACCCCATCACCTATCGCTATTGCAGATGACCCGACTATTCCCCTGGGGCCTTTGTTAACTTCTTCTCTTCCAGTGCACATGACTTCCAGTTTATTCCAGTGGTCACAGCTTGGATGCTGCCAGGATTTGGAAGGGCTCCACCAGAATCAGTCTGGCATTCTCCTAACTCACCATTATGGCCTTCAGGATATGCCTTCCCCCTTTCATGCAATGCCCATGCTCCTTTGAGCTTCATACATCCAGCTCTCTCTGCTCCGTGTAACTGTTATCTATCAATTCCTGATTACTCACTGGATTCCCTGGTTTCAATCTTCATCTGTCTCCCAGAGGTAGGGGAACATCAGTATGAATGGGGTGACATTATGGTGGCTACACTTCTTAAGTTCAAAGATCTAACCTTCACCTATGTCTCTATCCTCCATTTCATCCACTAATCACATAAGCACACCCTGGATCTTTCATCTTTCCAAATTCTAAATTCTGAAATTCCAAGTAATTCTGAAGTTCTACACAACCATCTCTAACTGCACCCTACCATTCTTCAGATCTCACTGGACTTTCTAGCCCTTCTATTTTCCCTCTCTCTCTATCTCCACCCCCTCCCCACTCGACCTGCCTGCTCTACTTTGTCTCAGTCTAGATCCAATCCTGTAGACCACAATCCCCAATATCCTCACCTCTTGTCCTTCTGCCACAACTACCCTGCCAGGATACAACTGTGATCAAGCCAGTCACTTGGCATCCTGGCTCCTACACCCAGGAGGCTGGAGACCACTGGAGAGAATCATACAGCCATGCCATTATTGCCAAACTAAAGGAACCATCTCCAACCCCAGCCAGGCCCTTGGTGACATTTGGCAATCTGTGTATCAGTGCTCAGGTAGTTCAGTATCCTTTGCACACAATGCCTACAGACACTTTCAGCTTTTGAATCAAATGCTTTAGTCCAGCTGTATTCTTAAAAGACAGCTTTCTCCTACTAGGGTGTGCAGCCAGGAATTCCTACTTTCCCACCTTTTGGAAAGAATCCTCGGCATCCTATCCTAAGTCCCTTCCCCATGCCTGCCATTTACTCCTCAAATGACTACATTCTGTATTTTGCCTGAAACAAACAGCTCTTGCTCAAGTCACCAGTCACTCCTAGTTGCCAAGTTTTCAGTCTTTCTCTTGCCAGATCTCTGTGGCAGTTGCCACTATTAATTGTTCTTTCTCATGGGTTCCACATTCTGCTCCTCCCAACTGCTCTCATTATTTTTTACTGATTTTTCTTCTTCCCAGTCCTCAAAAGTTAGTCAACCCCTAGAATTTCATCATTGGCCCTCCTTTCTTTTTACCCTCAGCTCTTGCTAAAGTTCCATTCCCATGCCTTTATTACCACCTACAACCTAATAACTCTCAAGTCCACGCCCTCAGTCCTGACTCCTTCCCGAATTTCTGACTGGTATTACCAACTGTCCACTGAACAGCATTACCAGGATGTTTTGCAGGTAGCTCAAAGCTAACATTCCCAAACCAAACTCATCTGCTAACTATGCTACATCTCCCACATCCCTTGTTTCAGTTCAGGGCACCACCATTAACTCAGATGTGCATGGATATAATCTTCAATTTGACTACTGCCCTCCTTCCCTCAGAACGTAAATACAGGTTGCTGATTCCACCTCTTAAATATTGCTCTTATTGTTCCATCCCTTGTCTCCTCCGAGTGAGCCTCAGTTCAGCCTCCCTATCTTCTCCTTACCAGAAATGGTTGTGGCAGTCTTCTATATAATCTGCCTGCCTTCAGTCTTCCCCAGTTCGCAATCCAATCCTATAACCATTTTGCAACACAAAATCTATGGTGCCGTTACTTTACTTAGCAACATTCTGTGTTTCTGCCCTGTCTCCATGATAGAATCCTCACTCTTTTTATTACCTTATTATATTATTAATAATTACTGAACACCAACTATTAGGCAGACATTATTTAGGTCCTAGAGATAGAAGAGTACACAAGACAGATCTTTCCTGTGATGCGGATATTAGATTCTTGTGGGGAGAAGCAGACAATAAATAAATACCATGTAAGTAAGAATTTCAGCTAATGATGCATGCTTTGGAAAACACACGATGATGTAGTCAAGTGCTGAGTTAGGCAACCAAGGAGAACTTCACTGAGGAGGTAGGAACTTCACCAAGGAGATGGCCCCAGAGCTGGAGCCTCTTTAGGAATCGCTGCACCTAGATCTGAGAGAAGAACATTCCAGAAAGAACAACAAAAGCAAATGGAACACTGTAAGATGGGTCAGAGGAGTAGACAGGTCCACATCACCTAGGACTTTGTAGGACCGAGTAAGGAATTTAGATTTTACCTAACATTCACTGTCAAAGGAGTGACAGAATATTATTTTTAAAAATCAGCTTTGGGGTACCTGGGTTGCTCATATGGTTAAGCGTCCAACTTCGTTCAGGTCGTGATCTCATGGTTCATGAGTTTGAACCCTGCATCGGGCTCTGTGCTGACAGCTAGCCCAGAGTCTGGAGCCTGCTTCGGATTCCGTGTCTCCCTGTCTCTCTGCCCCTCCCCTGCTCGCCCTCTCTCTCTCTCAAAAAAAAATCAGCTTACTGTGGTATAGTTTACAAACAATAAAATGTGCCTATTTTAGTATACATTTTAGTGAGTATTGACAAATTTGTACACCCAGGTGACTCCCACAATAAACAAAATATAGAATGTTTCCATCATCACCAAAAGTTCCCTTGTGCCCTTTCCCAATGGTAGTTTTTACACTGATCCATTCCAGTATTTTTTTTTTTTTTTGAGTGTATGTATGGCATGAGATAAGGACCGAGGTTCATTTTTTCCCTGTATGGATATCCAGTTGTTTCAGCTCTTTTTCTAAAAAAGACTATCATGTCTTCAGTGGATTATCTTGCCTTCTTGTCAAAATCAGTGAATCTACTTGTAAACTCTTTATTCTGTTCCACTGTTTATGTCTACCCTTGTGCCAATACCATACTAAACTTTCTGTCTGCCTCATTTATCTTTACATCTGCACTGCCTGAAGTTATCCCTGACTATAAGTTACTGAACACATGAATCTCTCTCTAAAGGCAGAAATAATTATTCTAATTCTGTAGACAATAAAACTGAAGAGGTAAATAAATTAGGGGTGATAAATCAGCTTCAGGCCATATATTTCTTCAGTGGGAAAGACAAAAGAGTTTTCTTAGTGCTGGAGACGTCCATACTCCCCTGTGGACTTGAGTGCCTTCCTGCCCCAGGAAGGCCAACACATTTTTCCACCAGCAAGAATTGTGGTCTAAGGGAGATAGCATGGGTTGCACCAGCATGACACACACCCTGTTATGACTTTGTAAATGTTTTCTTGGCTAAACTTGTGGTTTCCTTTTAACAGGGAAGTTGTAAAGCTGATCTGTTCAGTACAGAATGGTTGTTAAGAGCATGGCCTCAGGTTGTAGGTAGACTGGCTCAAGATCTGGGATCTAAACACTCTTACTGGCTACGTGTTTCTGGCCAAGACCTCACCAAGTACAGGACAATTATAAAGATTCATGATCAAATGCACATAAAGCACTTACATAATGTTCAGCTTGATAAACAATAATTATTAGGATACTGTATATAATAGCATCCTTTGCTGAAATTGTGCTTCTCAAGTTGACTTTTGTTATAGCATTTAAAGGGCATACCTTGTTCTTGGATTTGTTTAATATATTATTGGGTGCCCTCCCACCACCAGAAGCAATTACAAATGATTTTCAGCACTGGGTCCTTTGGCAGGGACTTGAGTCTAAAAATACATGAGCTGTCCCTCTGGGCAGACACTGCACTGAGCATCTTGAGGACAGTGTCTGGAGTCACTCCTCTCTGACCCCCTGATGTCTACGCCAGAGCAGATGCCTGACTAAATAGCTTAGGGGAGAATGAGAGACAAGACAAAGTATGAAGCAGTTTCCAATAAGTGTGTGTAGTAAATATACTGTAACATTTTTTTCCCCCACAAATAGGAAGAAGGCAACAAGTGGAGGATCACACTAAGGTTTAAAATGCAGAACCCGAGGGGTGCCTGGGTGGCTCAGTGGGTTAAGCCTCCTCCGACTTCAACTGGGGTCATGATCTCACAGTTTGTGAGTTCGAACCCCATGTCAGGCCTTGTGCTGACAGCTCAGAGCCTGGAGCCTGCTTTGGGTTCTGTGTCTCCCTCTCCCACTTGCTCTCTCTCTCTCTCTCAAAAAAAAAAAAAAAAAAAAAAAAAGATTAAAAAAAAATTTAAATACAGAACTTGAGAACTGTTTTCAAACAAAGGCTGGCTGCTGTGGTTTTCTACTTTCACACACATTGTGCCAGCAAGAATGAACAGGATGGAACAGTCTCCTCTTCTATATTTTAATAATGTCTGTGGGCACTTTGGGCTAGAAACACAGTAACTGTTCCAAAGCTTAACTAGTTCCCTCAGAGACCCTGGCAGGCATGGAGTGGGGGTAGGGGTGGGGGGCAGAGGTCTTGCTTTTATTGCAGGGATTTCAGTTAACAAACTCATTCCTCCCTCCCCCATCTCACTCCCATCCTTTCCCACTTTGAAAAGTTACCAAGGCACAGAAAGTACAATGTGTAATTTGTAGGTTGTTTGTGTCAGTGCATTTTTGCTCTAAAACTCTCTGTGAACATTTATTTTT